CTAAAAAAATGTAAAGTTATATTTTATTGTATGTTAAAATATTTTGGATCTATTGAGCAGAATAAATCATATTGTTAAAAACAATTTCACCTGATCCTTTTCACATTTTAATGTGGCTACTTGAAAATTTAAATTTACATGTGTGGCTCATATTGTATTTCTCTTGGACACTGATTACCTGTTTTACAGACTATAGACTCCTCCAAAGGAGGTTAATGGATCAGCATCATTGACAGGCAAAAATACCAGCAATGACTGCAGAAATCTTCTCCTGAAAATTCATCATGGAGAGAGATTTTGGAGAATGCAGTCAGTTTCATCTATAATTTTTTAAATATTGGTAGTCCAGAAATAGTTCAAAAGTCTAAAGAGACAACAATTACAAAACCAGCAAACCAACCCAGCTACTACAGGCTGCTGTGTAAAGGGTGCCCAGGCCTGGATCTAATTATAGTTTGATTCAACCCCTGGGAAGGATGTTTGATAATGTTCCAGTTTAAGGCCTAATGATCCACATTACCAAATTACCACTTCTGTGCCTCAGTGCCATATTTATGGACTCTTTCATTAATACTTATGGTAACTAGTGATTGAAAAGTTGAGAGGCCTCTGGGCACCTCTGACCCATATCAGAGTTTGATCCACTCTGGAGACTCAATTTAGACCTAAATTTAGGCTAAAGATTCTTAGTCTAAGAGAGGCTTCTTCCTAGATCATCTGGTTTGAATAGCCTAATAGAATGGCCGGGGGCAGGCATTTCCAAGGACTCTGATTCCATCTGGAGAGTCAAGTGGTCAGTGCCTCTGACATAGTGACATGGAAACCCACAGATTTTTCCTCTTTGTACATCTAGATGTCCCCGGCTCTTCCCCAACATGCAGCTCTGTATTCCCAACAGGACTAGGAAGATTTTGTGCATCTTTCAAGCTGGGTTTTATTTAAGCTTGCAATATTTGTTTTATTATCAAAACCATAACATTTGCATTTAAATTGTTCAATATGGTTAAAATAATTTTTTTAATTGAAAGTGAAACAAGACCAGAGTCATAAACTCTTCATGCAGTGGGACTTGGGGTCAAAGTCTCCTCCTGCTCTCTCTCACTCCCACCACCCCCATGAGAGGTAGAAAAGCAGTATGTAAACAGACTTCAAGGCACTGCAGAGGCCTTGACTGTGAGGGTCCACAGCCCATTGCTAATCAGAGCCCTCCCCAGCTCCCACTCTGAATTCAGTACCCCACTGAAACCTACTGTATTTTGAGATACCATGGGACAGAGCCCACATTCTAAAAAGATTTTATTTCTTTATGCATACAGAACAGGGGTACAGGCTAGAGGTGCAGAGTGGGGAGCAGAACAGGCAGACTGACAAAGTACACTGCTGAGGGGAGCAGCAGGTGGGTCAGGAGAAGTCTGCCACGCCATGTGGGTCACCTCTGGGGTGGGGATCAAACTCCTGCTGAAGTGGCTTTAGCTTTTTAGTCCTGTGCTTAAACCCACTGCACCACCAGGGAGGGGCCCTGATTTATTTATTTATTTTTTTTTAAGATTTATTTATTTGTGCATACAGAACTGGGGTACAGGCCAGAGGCTCAGGGGCGGCGAGAGGCTCCACCAGA